TGTTGTTGTTGTTGATGATGATGATGATGATGATGGTAATTACACTTGTTGTCAAGACGAGAGCCAATTCACCATATGACATAATTTATTCCTATAAATAATAATCACTGTTTTTTCCACATCATTTATTTAGTTGTCTCTTGTAGAGAGGTAAATATATATATATAAGTGTAATTCTTTTCAATTCCTGTGATGATTTTGACGACTGTGTGTGCGTGAGAAGGAGAGAGAGAGAGAGAGAGTGTGTGTGTGTGTGTGTGTGAAAAGTACTCTATACTATTATTTCTTTTCTGTTATATATCATATTGATGATTTTGTTCTTTTAATAATTTGTTCGTTTGTTTCGTTTTGTTTTGTCTATTTTTGTTTCCTTCTATATTGTGTTGACCTTGGAAACTAATTGATTTTTAATTTTTATCTAAATATAAATAAAGAATATATATATACATATATATATATATATATATTACTCATGATTGTTACTATGATGTATATTCATACTTCAACTAGGCATAGATAACCTTTATGCGATTTGTCTCTGATAAGTCTTGCTAAATTGAACGCTAATATTCGGTTCCTAATCTATTCTTGTAACCCTCTCAAACTAGAACTATACAGCGACTTGAACATGAGAGAAAAGACGTAAAACTATACGAGAAGCACTTTACTCCAAAGACTCGTTTTAATACAGAAAATATAATGTTTTTATAGTATGTTAGAATATCTTTGGGTTTCCTGAAGATTCTGAAATGTTACTATGCTTAGTAGCAGTATGGTAATCAGCCAATTAGAAACTCGACATGTGACTTTTCACTTTCTTGGTGTTTCTGGCTAAACTTCAAGTGATTGCTGATTGGATAAAATGTATCTTAGTGTTTCCTGAGTCTTTCTTGTCTTTTACAAGAAGTTTTTCGGGATCATCCCAACAGTCTCCTTAAGGTGTAATTATTCGTCACTCAATAATAATAATAATAATAATACGTGAACCTCCGACTAATTATAAATGTCTTCTTGTGATACTGAATCATCCTCTGACTAATATGAATCAACAAATTAAATTTTTTTTAAAAAGGCATGAGAAATAAAGCGATTGTTTCGTCCTGATATAGAACTCATCAGCAGTGCATATCTACGATCGTATCTAATGGGATATCGGACTCGGAAGCGATCGGTTTTGTGTGTGAACGTTTCACCTCTGGACTATTGAGTTGGTCGGCATTCAACGGTGTTAATGTTTAACTTCAACTAATTCACGAAATTGAGCGATACATCCATCATTGTCATCAGTGGGTTACTATCTCACAACAGACCTAAATGAACTCCACTGGTAACAGTTTCTCACTAGAACTTCAGGAAATACCCCTTGAAGCCAGTCACTAGTGAGCATATGTTGATTAATATCAAAAGGGGTTTTTGTGAATATTATAATAATTACAATAGTACTGTTCATGAGTCAGTTGAAGTTAAACCACCACCATGGAAAACCTGGAAGCACTGGACGGCCATTTCATCCTTTCATGGGACTTCTCAGCAGTGCGTATCCACAATCCCACCCCTCCGCGTGATATCGATCCCAGGACCTATGTCCAGCGCGCGAACGCTTGACTTCTAGACCACTAAGCTGATATCTAACGGTGTTATGTCTAACTTCAACCGTTTCACGAAATAGTTGGAACTACATGTATCATTATGAGATTTTTCGATTACATCTTGGAAATCAATCATAACTATGATTTTCTATTCTCAGTAAAGTCCGATTTCAGTATATGATTTTAAATATATAATGACTTAACTCATTTATCCAGTATCGATTTGTGTACTTCATTTCGAACTATATTCTAAGTGTGTATAGGCGTTGATCAAATCAAACTGGGTGCAATAGGCTTAGAATCTGTTACTTAATTGTTGAATTTCGAACGCGCTAACCATTGAACACACCGGTATATATTGAATTAACGGGTTTTTTGTTGCGTTGTTGATGTGTCCACTTACTTTTGGTGCTGAGGATAACTTGGCTAATGTGCGTGAGTTCGAAGTGGAGTAGAGAGTGGCAAACTATTCTATCACTTGATTGGCTGACAAGCACGCGAGTGAAAGAAGACAAATCTACTGGAACATTACTCAATTTATTCTCAATTCCGATCTGATTCCCGATTTCAGATCAGTGTAAAAAGATATATGAATAAATAGATGACTAACCCGACCACAACGTACCATAGTTACGAAAATACAATTATGTCTAATACTGGAGATTAGCATAGGAAATAGAGTACAAATTACAATAGCTTTGGAACAAAAAGGGCTATTATAGTGAATCATACATCAAACGAAAGATTACACTCTGTAGAATAGTAGACTAGGGTCAAAAATAAATATTGCCGTTTTACAAGCTTTGAATTAAATGAAATAACGTCCCCCCAAAATAGCTTCCGTAGTTTGTCACGGCTTCGTGTTTCTCTGTTCACATCAGTATTCAAATAATTTATCCTGTATATACATGAAATCTGATACAACTGGGCACCAAAAGTAGTAAACACCACACAAATTAAAGACATGAAATAGAGGATGGGAAGGTGGTACGATCCAAAAAGTAAGTGAACAAGAATACTGTGTAATAGGGTATACAGTTTAATTAGAACGTAAACTAAAACCACACCAGGATCACCATGGGTTTTTGTTTCGAGTTATATCTGATAACTTCTCCATGGAGTCGTGATAAACTAACAGATATCAGTCTTATACGGCTCTTTCATACTACGACATCATTCCTCTTTTCCCACCCAGTCTCAGCGTTGGCAAATAATACACAACATTCTCAAAGCATACTCAAGGCACCAAAGTCAGTGTTTCAAGATAGTCACACTAACTGAATTATTTTCTCTGTACACAGATACGTTTCCGAACTTCCATACTACTAGCTTGGTGTTGCCACTGGATAGCAGCAGCGATAATCGAACGTAGGGAGTCACCGAACATCAATTCGAAAAGGTTAGGTTTCAAAGGAATGGAGAAAAACTGATTCCATCAACGCGTTGTAAACCCAATTTTTTACAGCTGAGAGGACATCATTACGACTATAAAAGTGATCCGGATTGACCATTATGACTTTCACTATACATGAACTGATTTCACCTACCGTGCCACCACCAACACTCACAATTACCTCTAGGTAAGCGTATTTTTCGGGTACTTCCAATGAATCACCAAAAAGAATAAGTGCAAGTAGAGATTTCCCCCAGTCTTACAGAAGCGCTTTACACTTGGAAAGCGCAAAGTATACGCCATACCTACAGACACTAATTGTCAATTAACTAGTTTTAGCTTGAATAGATTATATATCATCGCACAGTAGGAAAATATCATCGACATACTCACAGTTGAGAAGTCCTTCCGGGAAACAGATCACCACGTACTTCGGAGCTATTTCTAGAATATCCTCTACGGCGAAATTGAGGAGAGATTGGGCAATTCTGGTCTAAATCTACTCTTGGACTACAATAATGCACAAAGGCAGTTGTATTTACTCACTCTGCCTTAGGTATTTGTGTACAGAGCCTTTAAGATGTTAACAGACTCTTCAGGTATACACTTATTCAACAGGCAATCCCAGAGAATAGTCTCCGATATCAAGAATTAAAGTAATTATTGACCTGGAATAATTGCGGTAGTGCTCTGATATTTGTGATCAATTCGTTCACAATCTCACTATAAACTATCCTGCTTGTTGTAAGTCATATATATGTTTATATAAATGTTGAGTTCGGAAAAGTCGAGTATTTTTTGGGGAGAAAATCGTGACCCGATGTCTTACACTACTTAAAACCTATTACAAGTAGACTGTGCAAACTAATTAAAGTAAATACATTTTCTGAGTAAATAAATAAGGATTGATTTACAATAAGTCACGAAGCGTCAGAAATAAAATTCCTTACTCCTTGAGATATAACAAGAATGTATATTTATTATTAACTTTCTAACCAATCCACAATTTATCTGAATTTAATTAAAATACTTATTTATTGATTAATAGTTGAGTTCATGAGTCAATTGAAGCTAAATCACCGTGGAAAACTCGTAACTATTGGACGGTCGTTTCGTTCTACCGTGGGACTCCTCAGCAATGCGCATCAACAACTCCGCCCCCTCGAGATTCGAACCCAGCACTTATCGGCTCCACGCGTGAACGTTTAGCCTCTAAGACCACTGAGTTGGCCGGCATCCAACACTGATCAACTAATCCACGAAATTGAGCCACCATTCACTATTGTCTTAAGTGAGTTGTTATCTCACAACCCAGCCGGTCGAATTCCACTTGTCACTGCTTCTCACTAGAACTCCAAGAAATACCTCATGAAACCAGTCACTAGTGAGCATATGATGATTATAATCAGAAAGGGGGTTTGGGGGGGTTGTAGTAATTGTAATAATTGAAAACCTGGACAGCCGTTTCATTTTAGTATAAGAATCTTCAAAACTGAGAGCCCGTCGCCTGCCGGAACCCGAGATCGAACCGGGGACATTTACATCTTCAGTCTAACGCTCTCCTAACTGAGCTATCCTGGCGATCATTGATCGGAATAATTACACATGTGGTGTGAATGTGCATATGAATGGTGCGAATGGTCCACCAGGGTGCTTGGTATCTGTGTGGTTGCGCCACAGGATTGAGCTGCACTATTCAGATTGTAGCGCTAAAGCCTATACGGTGTCTGGCTCTCCTGTTAAACGGGATTGGATTGTACTGTCCGGGTTGTCACGTGAAAGTCTGGACGGTGTCTGGTTCTCCTGAAAACCGATGTAAAATTACCCTGACCCACAAGGGTATATTATATAACTTATATAAGACTCTTCAACAATGAATATCATTTCAAATAAGAATATAATTTTGAAATCATCTATTTATTCAATTAATATAACTACTGTACAATAAGGGGGCGGGGAAAAGAAATTTTCTCAAAGAATAAAATAGATTATTATTGAAAATCTTATTCAATTATTTATCACATTATAAATTGTGACATAAATGATTCTTGTTGTTTTAACCATTCAATAACACGTTGTTTTGAAGCTGATATTTGTATAGGAGATTTCCATTTATCTTTATGTGAAATTTTTTTAATAGAATGTAGATTATTCAATTTCATATGTGATTGATTTCTATTATCAGCTATCAAGTAAATAAATAAATAAATAAAGATCTTACATTAATGAATAGAATACTTAATTTACTACTAATAAATAGTAAGTAGTATAAGTTACTTCTCAGTTATTTTATCTTGATCTTAAATTTATCATGGATTAGCTAGATTTGTTAATCGATCACCATGGTAACCGTTATTATAATATTACAAATCCCATCCCAAACGATGTTTAAAATATACAAGGAGCGATGATTAGTTTATTGGCGGATAATATGGATAACAACGCCTCCAAATGCCCTGGTATCGCCGAGAGTGGGGAGAGTCCACTCTCCCTCACAAAATGCTCTCACATGGCCACGGGTATATAGCCTCTGCCACAGAAGTCTTACTCACTGCTTTCTCGTGGCGGAGGTGTTGTTTACGAAAATGAGAGGACGCAAGGCGAATGTCCGGCGCATTAACCGGATCCCAAACGAATGGTGCACATGGGCTCCAGTATCCTGCGGGAACAAATGGCGTATGAACCAATCGTTGGTCACCGGCTACCATAGGACTGCATCTCCTCACGATGCTCCACTGCCTTGTGGATCAGACGTTCAGGTCGAAGGCTCCGGGTGTGGTCACCTAAGAAAACCACCTGCTTCGGTTTGGGCACCCGTGCAGTATCACAGCCCTCACACAAATCAATTGAGATTTGTGTGGCGCATATGTATTTGGTCCCTCCTTGTACCAATACCTATGTGTTAAAATAAATAAATAATGGATAACAACACTGTCGATCACAAGCCTGGATAAAAGAATAAGGTTGGGCATGGGGTTAACGACCCCATCTCGTAGAAAACTAACTTGCTAAAAAAACGCTAACCAGAAAAGATTATTTAAACTATTTAAACTCTTCCCCGGAAAGTTAGAAGGTCTTCATTTAGAAGAGTTATGAGGTCTTATGGTGAAAACCGATTTCCTTCGGAAGTCACGAGGCTGATGCTCCTTCTGACAATCAGAGCAACTATTTATTTAGGTATATGGAATGCTCATACAATTTAGGAGACTGGTAGAGTCTTCCAAATTGTTGCTGAATGGATAACAAAGCTACGATCATATCGATTGAACTTGAAGCAAAGAGGTGGATATGTGCGAGTGACCGAGAGAATATAGAGGCAAATTTATAATCAAATTGAATAAAGACACAGCAAAACAATGCAAATGCTATTAATAGGATTCGAGTACATAGATACATAGGGAAGAGAATGATTCATTGAGCGATATTTAAATGATTGACATTTTAGCTAGAGAGAGATATGTGCGTAGGCTGTCACATATGATCAAGCGTACATGTTTATACAGATATGATAGTGATCATGATAGTACAAGGAAGGCAATACTCACAGTATGCATATATTTCAATAAGAGACTGATCAATTGTAATCCGAAAGACATCAATGGAAAGATTCAAGTAAACAACAATATCAAGTGAATAGACGAATTTTTAGTGTCCGGTTAACGTTGTCTGTCAAATAAGTACTAGCATCCTTAGTTAATAACTTTAGATAATCACGATTTATTGACCGTATTGACAAAGATTATTTGAAACAAATTCTGTACTTTGCATATATTTGATGATTTTCTATACAACACATTTACAGATTAGTTCCGCACAAGGTTGCTTACTCTCAAGGTGTACCTGTAATCTTGAGAAAACTGGTGCTCCCTGACGGATTCAATCCCGTATCACCTAGCTTCATAGTCGGAGATGTTACCACTAAACTATCCAGGCGATAGCATTCCATCTGTACTAAGAAGCACCTGACACATATGACAATGATCACCACTCAGTGATCAATCATTTTAAAATAGGAATACTAAACAAGGACGAATATGTAATTGGTTACCAATGTGTTAAGAATTTAAAAAATAACTACATCAGTGGTTTATTTACTTCAAGATAGCTCTTGACGATGCTAAAGATACACTTTATAATTAACATGTGAAGAAACATGTGAATAACCACCAAGAAGTAAGTAACTATATCGTGTTCTGGCCTTTTTTTTTCTTTTACCATTATCACTATAGTGATATTTTATCACACATCCCTAGTATCTTATAAAAAAATTATTTACCTAGCATAGGACTGTTTTTACTACTGCTGCTACTACTACTATTGCTCGTATATAAGTTGGATCCATTCAGTGAACCAAATCTTCGCTTTTCCCAAGAAGATACTGATTTTTCTAATGCTACAAAATAATAAGATATTTATAAAAAGATATTTTTATACTTACAACATAAAGCAGCTTTTACATTATTAAAATCCTAAAATCAAAAGTTTTATTTAAAAAACTTAAAGTAACTCGTACCATTTTAGAATTTTCATTAAATAATGAACTTTCAATTCTTACTTCCCCCTTCTCTTTCTCTTTCTCTTTCTCCTCTCCCTTTTCCTCTTCTTCGTTTTCTTCTTCTTTTTCTGTTTCTGTATCACTACATGTACCAACAATAGTAGTATTTGTAAAAGATCCTTTAGTAGAAATTAATTCAATTTAAATATAATTGAATTTAATACCTGTTCTAGTTGTAGATGGTTGAATATTTTCAATATCATAATCATTTTCATCATCTGATAATATACTATCTGGTAATGATGATAGGAAATCTATAAATGATATTCAAATTTTATAAAGAATATTTATCTACCTCCTGTTTTAGTGACTGAAAATTCGGTTAAATCAACTATATCACAATCACGAAATTCATAATTATACTAAAATTATAATAAATAGTAACTGGTAAGATATATAATAAAAGAGACTACCTTTTCTGCTATGCTGTTTAACTTGATCATAAATGAAGAATCCATAATAGTTATTGTACGATTCTGACGGTAGTAAACTTAGATGAGTGAAGTAATATGAAAAAAAAAGAAGGATAAAAACTAATCAGATTAGTTTCATGTATTATGAACCCAAATACTGATGTTGATGTCTCAATCTTCGACTTTAGACAGATAGCCCTGAGTTGGAAACCTTTCACACTAGGTTTAAGCAAAAATCTAGGACTATTACGAAACATAAGATTTCGTCCTTATGTAATTACTAGATTACATGACACATTTTATGCCTGTCATCTGTAACCAGATTACAACTAAGTGGATTTTTGAAAGCTGTGTCAACAATTTGTTACCTAGAAAAGTAGTTTCAACCCAATCACCTACTAACAGCCTGGAATATACTTTTAAGCAACAAGTGATTCCCTATAGTTCAGTTTGTGCTGGATAACAGGAACTGAAGTTCATTTACAAGGATTTCAAAACGACAAGCGAAAACTGACAACCTACAGTTATGTCAAGTATTTCCAATACTTCTTAATGGATAGAAGTGAAACAATCGATCCATGTTGGGGATAAGTATTAAGTGTTTATTGTTACTAAATAGAAATCTGGGAAACACTGATTGAGAGAAACATTGCAAAAAATGATGGGTCTCTGTTTTAACTGCACTGCAGACGGTCTGAACGATAAGAAATACGTTATGAGGGAAGATACTAGTGACGTTACGAATCTAGTATCTTGCTCATGTTGATATTCCTAATGTAAAACCGATTTTATGTCAGTTATCAACGTCTGAAGTTCTTATACCAACTGCACCATTCCTTATTTAGAAACGAGACAAAATGAACACAAATACTCTGCTGCAACTCAAACTGCATAACGTAAATTGATACTTCCGATAACACAGTTTCAGTTTGGAAAGGATAAGAAGCTGGATGGCCTGTGTTAGTCCTAGCAATGATGGTTTTTCTGTTGGTTCAACTATCTTTTGAAAGAGTCAACTGATGAAGCTTCAACCACGTGTTGAGGGAATGAAATCCACTTGTTGGTGATTCGATAGGAAAGTCTATAGTCAGCTGACAAGTAATTTGTTCTGAGTTTGTGAGCTTTTTTGGAGTGTTCTCGTAAATTCTCTGTCACTGTGATCAGTTTTTAATTTCTCGGCTACTTTCGGGAGGGGGTCAGATTTTCTTTAATGGCGTCATATCGTTTCTTGTTCTCGACCTGCACCCATTCATTGACATTTGTTGAAGTAGCAACCACAGTCGCATCAAACACATTGTGGAATTCTGGAAGGTTATTGATGAATTGGGTAGTCAGGCTGGCTTTCATGCTAGAAACAGATCTAGCCTTGAGGTTGGATTTTTTAGACGTTTCTTGTAGGATACCATTTAGAAAACGGGGGACAGGAGAAATTTCCTTTCTTGAGTTTTTATTCAGGACAGACCTCTTTAAAGTCAGTCTTTCCTCCTTTTATCCAATTAAGTCAGCTATCACCGAGCCTATTTGAGGTGACTTCACATCAATTTGCGTACCGACAGAGTATTGTTTGATGTGTCTTGACTTCGTTGGCTAATACACCTATTAGCAGTATTTACAGTTTAAATGGCCTATGTTAGCAAGCCGTTTTGTCCTAGCAGCACTGTTGAAAAACCACATGAAAAACATTCTTATTAAACCGTTTGAAATCCGCAGGCATTAGGTTCGTGCAAGTTTTGTGGTACCACCCTTTTCACTCGTCGCACTACATGCCACTCTCAACTCTAAAGATTCGTAATGTACAGAAATGTCATAAGGCCACGGTCAACGACAAAATATACATATTAGTGGTCCGAAAAAATTTCCGTTAAGATATAGGAAAACAGATATTTACCAAATAACATTCACCATAGTCGAAATACTGTTTGAAACACATTGTGACCTTATATGAACACCCTGAATTCATGAAAATAGTTTTTCAATCGATAATTAAAGTATATTTGTAACGAAACACAGGAAATCGAGTTATATCGAGAATAAAGCCACCCACGATTTTAACGGTAAGGAATAAAATTGAATCGGAAAATTCGAATTTTGAACTTCTTAGAGCTTAATTAAAATAATAATCACGAATAACCTCTTGCAAGTACCTCATATAACAATCCTAACAACACCTTTGACACCAAGGTCAAAGTTGACTAGTGCGCTAAAACAGAAAGTAGCGCACAGAGAATACAGTTAAACGGTATCCCAGCTACACGTGTGTTTATACCTTCACATGAATCCAGTTATTGGATTTCTTCGAAATATTAGAAACTGTGATCAAGTAGCAGCTTTAACGAGTTTCTTTAGTATCATTCATGAGATATCAATTGTCTGCATAAGGATTTCGATTTTCCTTCCTGTATCAGGAATGTGAGAGTGATCTTTCAAAAGTGTAACTCAATAAATAATCCCCTTTTTGACCGCGCATGTGAAATTTGTTCAAAGGAATGCCTGGATGACTAGATTGCTCTCATCACTAATTGCTTACCTGAAAATGAATATCCGGTGAAATTCATCCGCAAATATGCAAAAACCAGTCCTCGGGCAAAAGTAAGATAGTGTAGGAAAGAAAACTTTCTTCTTATATTTACGGTTCAAGGGAGAGGTAATTGCTGGAATGATTAATGACAGATGAAATTCCGCGTTGAAAGTGACCTACCCAGCAAGAAGACCGACGACAGTTTGGGAAACGAACTGCTCACTCAAACAAACCAAAATCGACAGTTCCTCTTTTCTCAGTAGCTGCAACTGCATTTACCGATTCCCACGTACGTGTCAGAGCACATACATTGGAATAACTGAGAGGAGAGTTCATGTTCTCATTTCTGAGCATGTTCCAAAGAACTTGAGGCTGCGAGGGACTAGGGCTCTCAATGGTGTAATAGCTCGGAATTTACTTGAATACGGGCATAACATCGACATCCCTCACTCTTTCAAAATTGTGAACCGACAAAGAAGTACGACGGCTCTCCGTTACGCTGAAGCGATCGCGATAAAAATACTTAAACCGGATTAATGTATTCAAAAAGAGACATTAATAAACGTATTATTACCCTGGTAATCCCATTTTCGCTTTCTTTGGTTGTTTGTGTTACTTTACTCATTTATTTATTTTTAAAATATTTATTCTGTGTTATATTACTCCTCCATTACCTAATTCTTAAACCAACTTTTCATTCACACATTTCCGCCCACTGATCCTCTTGAAATATGTTAACTTTTCAAATTCTATTAAATTATTAAGTAACCTATCTAATCACTGTTTTATTCCATGAGTCCTTCATTACCTCTAAACTTATCACACAATTTATGAACCCCACTAAACTGCTACACCACCCATCCTGAATTGTTTCACTATTTCTAACACCAATATATATATATATATATATATATATATATATATGTATATATATAGTTATTATTGTAAACCTTTTTCATTATAGTTACTTACTTTCATTTACGTAAATTTTTTCACACTTTTTCTTATTTCAATGGAAAATTCTAGTACATATTTGGTTGTAAACAGATAACGTGAAACCCCGGACTACTATGAATTCATACTATTCTGCATCAGTATTCGCTTTTGCCTTATTTCAATTCATAAAGTGAACTAATTGAATGAAAATGTTGAAGGTTATCTGGAACGCTCTTCCGTCATACGGGCCAAAAATGCGTTTGTAGTGGCATCGGATCATAACCACACAATCCTCAAATCTGAACACGAGACTACTCGGAAGACAGATATTCAATATTTAACGCGGAGGAATACCCAACAATGGAGAAGACGGGAATAACGAATTGAATAAAGTAGTTGGTCGGATGGCATGGCTCGGCCTTGCAGGCGTGGTCCCAGCTGAATGTTATCTTGTATCTTTGATTTATATTAAATATATTCTATCTCTAGACTAAGCTTGTTCTCTATCACGTATTGGTAATTGTTACAATTCAATGAGTTGGTGTAGACGATGAAGTAACTTCCACGTAAGATCTTATAGATTAGGCAGTAATATCATAACGAATCTACAATTTATGGATTATGTCTATTATTAGAGCAGTACTAATAGCATAGTAGACCGTAATTCTTAACTTTCAACGTTAACAGTGCAATGTTTGCTCAAAAGTCATTTTTGTCACAGTAAGCGTGAGACTTCAAATCGTAGGGTACCAGCATTCCCCAATCTTTTTCAACTTAGGATACTTCTAGAGAGAAGTTTCTTAAGTTGTAGCTGTAGTCTACAACATGTGTCAGATGGGTTGCTTCACACTTTGAAGTGTTGAGGGTAAGTCCGTTGTCATTCGCCCAACTTTGAAGTCGAGTCACATCCTCTTGAAGTACCAGTATATCCTCTTGGTTGAGTATCCCGTAATTCTAAATTGGTGAGCCCGACTTAAGAAACGCAACCTCTAATTCTTCATCCATATTTCCACTTTAACCTTTTCGATCGATATTTACTTATGTAAACCCATTATTCTAATAGTCCTCTGATTAATGCTCATATGTATTATCTTAACGCTATATTGATTATTACTCATAACTTACTAGCTTAATCAATAATAAAAACTGATCATCTACATTAACTAAGTAGCTTTGATGGTTCGTTAACAAGCTTTAATAGCATTAACATGCTTCAGCGAAACAAACTTGTTTTAACATCAAGCTCTAGCAAATATGACCTGTAAATAACCTAAATATACATTGGGCAACAATGCAATCAAGGACTAAATAGTTATCTGGATCTGATTCTTAGTGTTCCTTCACTTAACACATTCTATTTTTAAACTATACAGTATCCTGCAATATCTTTTATTCCGACCACTGCCTGCCTAATTTCCAATTGCTGAGTTCCATGGCCAAACAGGATGCAAATGCCAGAAATTTACGGTGAGTTTGAACTATAAATTTCCTGCAATCTTAGGTCTCGTTTAGACTGTTCGTCAGGCAATGCTACATATTTGGCTTAGATTAATTTTGGACTTACACAATTCCAGTTTTCAATGCTGGGTTAATCCAAGAATTTAGTCAACAGTATCTCGTGTATAGTCCAGATTCGAATTACTGTCCAATTCAAATCATCATTACTTAGAAGCGAAAACAACCCAGGCGAGTTTTACTTTTTCCCTTTCCTGATTCATTTATTATGATTTAAGTACTTCTTAACTTAGATTTTTTCTGTTAGACTGGTTTTGTATATTTCATACGAGCCACTCCCAGGACTAAGCAGAATTATTTAATACTTTTATACCACAACATTCTACTAAGAAAACGTGCTGTTTAAAGGCATTTCTTATTTTTAGTTCCTTTTGCACACATTTATAGATATCGCTAGGTTAACTACAGCGACGTCTTATGTAAAGTTTATATCTCATCATATTCTTAACTGAAATTCCATAAGTCGTCTCGATTTAGAAAAATATTTTTCATTTTGGCCCTGTTTATTATTTTTAATTTGCCATATATCTCAACAACCTGCATGTTAATGTGGCCCGTACTTCCATTGCATTATATCTCTATGCCTCTTAAATTTAAAAATCATCTGAATCGCCTTTAACATTTTCAATAAACCCGTCATAGACATTACTGCTATACGTATTTGGGTTTACGAGTTGGTCTAGTGTATTAGTAGCCTAAAAAGACGAACATATAAGGGATAATAAAGTCATCAAATCTAGGTATTATCATACTGCACTAATTTAATAACTAAATTCTCATGTTGTTCGACAAACAAATATTTAAAATTAGATTTCCGAAGCCTATTATTAAAATTAACATTATGTACACGAATATATTTAAATTACCATTAGTAATATAAACAGGTAACCCGGATTCGTTCACGCTACGAATTTCTGATAATTTTGAAACACACAAAGCAACAGCATCTATTTTTCACTGGCTAATCCTCAATCAACACTATAGCTAGATAAACATAATGATTTCAGGACATCGTCATAAAGCATTGTCATGACTTGACAATCACGTAATATGATTGATAAAATTGATGAACTTATTAACAAAATTGGTCAGAAAATTGACTTGTAATTATCATCAAATAGTGTTGTTTTCTCGGTATCTTTGTCCATTACAGATGATTTCCAGTACGTTTCTCTATCAGTTGCTCATTCAGTAAATATCTCAAAACCTTGTCAGTCTAACTGGAGGTTTAGCGACACAACCATGCATGCAAACAATCAGTATAAGCAGTCGAGCGAATCTCCTGCAAACTGAAAACATAAATGTCGAATTTACCCCAACATTGACTAAAATTCAAGCCATTATCATAGAAATGAGTTGGGAGTGTACTCCCCTTGGTTACAACTTATGTTCTCCCTGGTAACCACATGAGCATCACTCACTGTTAATCATCTTGTAAAAACTTATTTAGACGAATACATCTTGCAGCAACACATCACCTAGAAATGTGGCACATAGGCCTAACTGATTTCAATTACTAATAATCACTATGTCTCAATGAAACAGCATTCCGTCTTATACTAAACTGGCACTTGCAACCAACTTGTATGTGCCATCAGCCGATAGATATGAATATAAATAAATAGTCTATGGCAAATCAGAACATTGAGTTTAGAGCATATCTCTAACGGATACACTCATGTTTAACGAATCGCTCTTATCTATCTGTCCAAAATCCACATAATTATTACTTTTCACGTATTTAAAAATTTTTGATAACAATTCATATGTATTAGTTGTATTACTAAATTCTATCACGGTCAAGTACAAACGAGGTCGAGAAAATCTCCCCACAACTAAATAAACCGTATTAAACCAACTGGAACACTAGTTGTAATTCTTCTCTGCGGTTATACTTTTGTTCTTTCAGTTAGTCTACTAATACAGATGCAATTGGAAATCAACACATGGACAACTTACCGGCACATACGTTATTTAATTTCATAATTTAGACCAAATATAATACCACTTTCAACATTTCTCTAATATTGGCTGTTTTTGATATTCCTAAACAGGAAATGCTATTAACCTACGGATATCACTACGTATCTTACGGCACTTTATTAAAATATACTTATACTGAATCATTTGACTGTTATAATCCCACTTTGTTTAGCTCAAATAATCGTTACCTTAATTTTCATTTTAAGCGTGTTAGGCATTAAACCAGACGTTTTAACGTTGTTATATGTATTTCCCGACCAGATTCTGGCTCCTTCTTTTTGATTTATCTTCCAGCTTACCAATACCCGGTGGATTCTTATCATTCTTGGCAACGTCCGGCGCGCGACAATCCCATCCAATTTGGTATCGAACCAACATCGGAGAGTAGTGTAGTGGCATCGGATCATAACCACACAATCCTCAAATCTGAACACGAGACTACTCGGAAGACAGATATTCAATATTTAACGCGGAGGAATACCCAACAATGGAGAAGACGGGAATAACGAATTGAATAAAGTAGTTGGTCGGATGGCATGACTCGGCCTTGCAGGCGTGGTCCCAGCTGAATGTTATCTTGTATCTTTGATTTATATTAAATTTATTCTATCTCTAGACTAAGCTTGTTCTCTATCACGTATTGGTAATTGTTACAATTCAATGAGTTGGTGTAGACGATGAAGTAACTTCCACGTAAGATCTTATAGATTAGGCAGTAATATCATAACGAATCTACAATTTATGGATTATGTCTATTATTAGAGCAGTGCTAATAGCATAGTAGACTGTAATTCTTAACTTTCAACGTTAACAGTGCAATGTTTGCTCAAAAGTCATTTTTGTCACAGTAAGCGTGAGACTTCAAATCGTAGAGTACCAGCATTCCCAAATCTTTTTCAACTTAGGATACTTCTAGAGAGAAGTTTCTTAAGTTGTAGCTGTAGTCTACAACATGTGTCAGATGGGTTGCTTCACACTTTGAAGTGTTGAGGGTAAGTCCGTTGTCATTCGCCCAACTTTGAAGTCGAGTCACATCCTCTTGAAGTACCAGTATATCCTCTTGGTTGAGTATCCCTCTCTAAATTTTCAAGTTATCAGCAAAAAGTAATAAGTCAGATGATACCTGTTGTCGAAGATCGTTTATATAAATCAAGGAAAGAAGAGGTCCCACCAGAACATTCCATAGCCTGAGAGAAAGTGGATTTAACCCTAACTTTAAAATGCCGATGTTTAGATATGAAGTTAGCCAGTCAATTAGAGATGATTTGATATCCAATCACCTTGAGCTTATTGACAAGGCACATATAGTCACCGGTGACTTTAAGTAGGAGCCCAGCTATATTCAACAGGAAATTGAGATATGTTAGTAATTTATAGTGAAATACTGCCCTTTGTTCCTAGGAATACATTATATTCAATCTTGAAGGAACCCTTGTAAGTTGCTTGGACCACCTCAGCTAGTAGCAAATTCCGGAATGTGACTAATCGTAAAGAGTAGGAGACGTGCCTATGATCCACTCCGCCATGTTGTGCTTCTGATTTCTGGGTGTCTCTCCTACCGTTTGTGTTTTGACTTAAAATAAGTACGTATTCAAAATGGTATAAATGAGGGTTAATGAGGCTACAACGCGTTGGGACGTCACCTCAAAGGTGCATACACTCTTTTGGGTAAAGATCCAGTGATTTAATGAGTTCTGCTTTTGGTTCGAATTCAGTGAAGTTTCGTTCTCTCAGCTGGATTGTTTGGTCATGGAGCTACCATTGTTATTCTGAAAAAACCGTCAGTACAAACTTTGAATACGAGTAAAATATCGGAATTTCTCCGCATATAACTTTCATCTTGTCCCGCCAACCTTAAAGATACCACAGACATTCAGGCTTTGGTAACTCCTTTGTCCGTGTTACCGTTACAATGGAAGAATACCAACCCAGTTGAAACACAAATTGGGAATCAATGTGTTTGAAGACATATTTGGAAGGGTTGTCAAAGTGTTGAGAAACGTCTGATTTAAGATAGCTAGCAGTCGAAGGAGATGCGTACTCGCTAATGAGTACACACAGTGGAGCCCACTCGCGATCTGGATTTGGAATTTATTTACCACTAAAACTCATTCCCCCCCCCATTGGAGTACTGATGTCCCTAATAAATGTCCAACCAGAAGTATAAGCACGACTAACCTGCCGTTGACAAACGCTATTCTGATAGCTTGCTACGTCTATCAGTATCTGATAATCTTTCTGTAATATAAGAATTCGTTTAATCGTCTATGGGAATGAGCCCATTGACATAGAGATATTGATATCAATATGTTTGCGAAGTTATCAATATATCTGTGCATTTATTAACAGTATGGAACGTCGGCTAACAGGACCGTTCATGGTAAAATCAATTACGGTTAAATACATCTATACAGATGTAATGAATATACAGCGTTCGAAACACTGTAGTTCAAAACTTCCTTTTGAACCAGAACCCTAAAGTCAGTTTACTCAACATTGCAGAGTGAAAAATGCGATGATGTATTTGAGAAATGCGATCTAAACTGACGACGTACCCTGTAATGATTTGGTGCAGATGCTTGACCGTTCTCCTTTGAGCTATTTTGTCTAGTAAAACGGATGAGGCCACAATCACTATCGGAGACCTATAGAAATATTTATTCCGGAAATTTATTCACTGTTACACATTTAATCTCGCATATACTAGTTAAACGAATTAGATGTTTTATAAAAAATTCTTCACTGATAAGTTCATTGTCCCAGAAGATGAATTGTTTTGATTACCCAATCCGTTTTTTACTAAAAATATAACATCAAGTCGTTTTATTTGTTAATGCAAAATGTGCTTATTTGTTTATCTAAGGTATTTTATATTATCACGTTACGGAGAGCTTTCAACACAACTGTTCTACGTTGCATAACTGTCGCCTGATTACTCAATAGTGGTAGACATGATGCAGCGTAGCTCTACCAGCAGAGAACTGCTGGATAGACTGGAGGATCACGCAGATTGGGTAATGCTTTTTGACTTACTCTGCCACCACACTGTCGTATTTTTTACAGATAAGGCATGTTACAGCACTTCATTAAATTCTCATGTTATTCTCAGGCTATATAAATACGGATTATTTCCAGCACATGATATGATTTTTACTGCTAATAGTTGTCTTCAAATTATTGAATAGCATTTCACTATTTCTACTCCTTAGAAGTAAAATAACTGAAAATTAGGTTGAAGTCAGCTATAATAAGCTTCTAAATTATGTTCGTAGTGGACCTCAAAATAAAGTCCATCCTGAAGCTGCTCATGACCATTTTGTAAACCCGTACGGCCGTCTCGTTACTATATTTGCAAGCCTAAGTCCTTAATTTTCATTATTTTCATATATGACTTGGTTTTTAGTCAAAGGTCTGATTTTTTCTCCAGTTGATCACTTTTAAGACGACAGTCTAGTTCAAACCAAATTGCATGGCTTTACATCAATATGTAAAGGCAATGTTATTTTTATCAATCTAGTAGTCCAGCTCACTTCGTAGACATTCCATTTAGTTTCATTTCAAAATTAGCCACCAGAGTGAAAGTAGACCTTTTTTGGTAAAAGGGCTAACATAGAACAGTCTTCTGAACCCCTTGATTAACAGCCCAGTTTCTCTCTAGTGGCTTCGTGATTGGTTTTCGCCATCACCTGAATTGATCTTAGGGAACAAAATAACTGAGCGCGTCCGCCAACCCACTTATCTTGGAAGTCCCATTAGCATAGGTAGGACGGTACCTAACGAATCTTCTTCACAGACACCAAACGTCCCGTCGATTTTTCTGACTTCCATCATCTCTGGTATAGACAAGATGTCCGTCTGCACATTGGAAGACAAGTATACTATGTAGCTATCCATTTTTTACTACCCTAAGGTGCTCTTGAAGCATTTCTTACTTTTGGTGGAACAACCTAGTGAACTGTTCCGAGGTAAGCCATAGGGTACTAGGTAAGTGTGGAAAGTCAGTTGATGTTGTGCGTCTTCATCGGTTGGGGCTGCTGGTATTCTACGTATTCCAACAAGCCTACCTTGATATACAATGCTTGCTGGTGTAAGCGTAAGCTGAAGAGCTAAGAGTGGTCTTAAGTACATGCAATTACAGTCCATCAAGTCACTGACTGTCGGTCTGAGCCGTATTTGTAGGTTCAGATTATCTTGTCAGGGTCTGCGATAACCGCTTTTGACTATGCGTTGACCGATATGGTTCGGAATCGATTACGGTCGCATAGGCCAACTCACTATTAATTTCCATCTGTCTTAGGTCCCTATATTTCTTCATACATACTTTTTCGTCCCATCTCGAACCATTTGTTTATTGTTTGATCTTCATAACTGCTACCTCAGCATCAGTATTCCTCTCATCTCATTAACATGTGTCAGATCATAAGGCCAAACTGAAACTATATGCTTGGACGTAGGCCGTAACAAAACTGGTGTCTGATAGCCTGATATAAATATTGTAATTGCTTTCTGAAGTGGGTTTAAGAAACCACAACGGGTTGAAGATACTATTTAGTTGATCTCTTTCCTTCGTGGCATATGGATCAATTTCAAGACCTAATATATTTTTGTACTTAGTATGATCGTAGGTCTAATGATTTTAGGTTGACGTTTCGTACTGACTTGTAAGACTAATGGGTCATTAGCATCAATTGCCAATCTCACACTAAGTCGTCTGTGATCTATCAAACCTTCCAATTACCATATAGTCTTCATATATTCATAAAGAGGATCCACTTATTGGTCTTGGAATATAAAATTATAATATTTCTGCATCATCATATTTCTACTCTTCTGGAGTACTAGCTAATTCATTAAACCTCATTGTCGTTGAAACCATCATACTTTGTAACAGAATTTAAGTTTTCCCTATGATAATTCAGTAATATTTACCTGCAAACAAAAGATTCTTAAGATTGATAACACTGTAGCACTTACTATTTCTATACCTAAATGTCTTACTATCCATTTCATGGTTTGCTTACTTCTGTGTATTTTGTCCTGTAATTTTTACAGCTTGTACGAAAAAGTCGACGCTATCTACCTCATATAGCTAGATTCTGTCTTGTATCTACGTTTATTGAAGATGGTTTCCGACTTTTAACTCAATGGTCTGATCAAGTGGATTATATCCAGTCTGTTTGGGGAACCCATGTCATATTTGCAGCCTTTTTCATTTTATTGAACATCTGCTTACAATTTATCGGAAGTGCTCTTGTCTTGGGTCGTTATCGGGTGAAAATTGGCGTTGGAATTCTTATGTCAACTGTATTATTACAAGTTAGTGTTCATACTGTCATGTTTATCGTGTATATATAATAAATTCGGAGTCGCATTTCGAGTTCATTGGCGTGTATATTTATATTCTTTTAGTTTAATTTCTTCCATATAGTTAATAAGCTACTCAATACTCGATATATGAAGGTATTGCTAGGTTTCGTTGTGATATTAAAATATTAGGAATTCGTTACTTTGTGATGCATTTCTTTCATAATCGGTAATTTGTTCAAATTATAGAAAGATATGCTTTAATAGTTTAATCGCTTTCATAGTTTTCAAACCAGAAAATTTTGATATCAGTCTGATTGTACAAAACTCCTAACAAAACTGATTTGTAAGCAAAGATGAATATTGGCTAGCAGTGGGATCTAGGAAGCACGTTTCATTCTATTTGGGATGTACTTGCATCTCAGAGTTGATGTTCACTCTGGGAGTCGAATCGAGTGCCGTTCGCTTCAAACGCCATCGCGTTATTCACTTAGCTACTGAATCCTGATAGCCACCTACTTGTGCAATGGGATGAAGTTTAAATTCACTAGGTGGTGTTATACTTGTATCTTCCCATCAGTCTCATGTTGGCATATGTGCATCCTGTGCTTATTGCCTTGATATATCCTTAAGTCATAAGCTTTATAACAATAGGAAGATAAAAGTAATACGACAAGTGATTTGTTTTTTTAAAAAAACTCAATGTTAAAACTTTCACTATTCAATTATACATGTAATATTGTCTTCTTATGTATATTTATTTATTGTAGACTATTGGTTATAATATTTGGACAAAAGTATTCTTCATGCGTAATCTATCACTTATCGGTAGTTTATTATTGTTATTAGCTGAAGTACAACAAGAAACACGTAGTCTATTAGCTGGTCTACCATCATCTGGTGAAAATACACATCGACAGTATATTCTACTTGGTGGTAGAATACTTATTATTCTAATGTTTGTCACACTAGTTCATTTAGGTAGTAGTATATTCTATGTTATACAAGTAAGTATTGTTTACTTTAACAGTTAGTATTTTACCTGCTAAAACATTTCATTCATATATTCAACTTACGTTCCATTTAATTCAGTTTGGTTAGATGCTTAGTATCATAAAACCTTACATAACATGTGTAAGTCAAAAGGGAGCATATACGGAATTTGTAGTTGATTACTCAGTTAAACCTCAAAAAAATATACAACACAATTGACTATTCTAAACAAAGATGAATAGTAGTTAGCACTGTGATGCAGGATACGCGTTTCGTTCTATTCGGGACTCGTCAGATGGATCTACCTGCATCTGTGTTGATGTTTACTCTGGGATTCGAACTCAGTATCATCCGCTTCAAACACCATCCCGTTATCCACTTAGCTGACAAGTCCCAAATAAGACAAAACTCACGTCCTGGATTCAACTGCTAACCACTATCCATCTTTGCTTAGAATGCTTAAGGCAATATCGAGGCAATACGCTCAGTATACACATATACCAATAAGAGACTGATCAATTGCAGTTCTAAACATTAATGAGAAGATTCAAATAAACAATATCAAGTGAATCTAATTGATGATCGACGATGGGAATAGCAACATAATTACAGCGAAATAATCTACACGTTCGATTTTGGATGATAGAACCTAGAATACTTCACTTTAACTGTTTCAGTTACCTGTGCTAAAGTATACGATAATTACATTTCCTTACTATCATTTTCCAAGTATATGGCTACGCTATCGTAAATGATTGCTCTGTTAATGTACACTAGATTGAAAATGTAAAATTTTGAAAAAGTAAAAGAATATTTCACGTTTATTACAGTCATATTCCATATCGGGTACTTCGCAAAACTTCATATCTATGTTAGTCAATAACAGCGATAAGTAGTAAAGTTTCTTTACTTTGATTTAGCTATATTGTCTCATATCAGTGTCATCTACAATTGATTCGTTCTTAAACAACTTGTAAATGTCATGTGAAATATAGGTAAAGATTATTTTCAATTATAATCAGAGAGGGGTTTTGTGGATATTCTAGTAATTCTTATGAAAAACCTGGAAGCACTGGATGACTGTTTCATTCTAGTGCGGGACTCCTGATAGGTCTTGGATTCGAATCTCGTGAGGTGATGTCGTGAATGTACACTTCTAAGGAGTCCCACAGTAGGACGAAACGGTCATCCAGTGCTTCCAGGTATCCTATAGCAGTTTAGCTTTAATTGACTTATGAATTCAATTATTAAAATTACTACGATCTTCACAAAACTTTTCTCGGAATATAATCATCATATACTCACTAGTGACTGTCTCCAAGAATTATTTCCTGGAGTTCTAGTGAAAAGCCGTGACCACTGATTATTTATTTATTTATTTATTTTAACACATAAGTATAGGTACAGGGAGGCACCAAATACATATGCGCCACACAAATCTCAATTGATTTGTGTGAGGGCTGTGATACTGCTCGGGTGCCCAAACCGAAGCAGGTGGTTTTCTTAGGGGGCACACCCCGAGCCTTCGACCTGAAGATCTGATCCACAAGATAGTGGAGCATGGTAAGGAGATGCAGTCCCATGGTAGCCGGTGACCAACGATTGGTTCATACGCCATTTGTTCCCGCAGGATACTGGAGCCCATGTGCACCATTGGTTTGGGGTCCGGTTAAAGCGCCAGACATTCGCTTTTCGTCCTCTCATTTTTGTAAACAACACCCGTGGTACGAGAAGGCAGTGAGTAGGACTTCCCTGTCAGAGGCTATATACGCATGGCCATGTGAGAGCATTTGGCCGTACCAGGGCATTTGGGGGCCGTGACCACTGAACTTCAAGCGAATCTATTGTGAGATAATAACTCACTGATAATAATGGTAAAAGGTGGTACAATTTCATGAATTAGTTGAAGTTAGACATTAACACTGTTGAATACTGAACAGCTCAATGGTCTAAAGGTTACATGTTCGTACACAAGACTGATAGGTCCTGAGTTCGAATCTCTCGGGAATGGGATCGTAGATGTACACTGTTTCAATTGAATCATGATCTTAACTATTTAAATTATTTCTTATATGTTAAAGTTTCTAACATGTTTATCTTTTTTTTTTCTTTTCTTTTCTTTTCTTTTATTTATTTTATAGTCAATTTGTAATTTAATCTTAATTCTATTAGTAGCAATTGGTTATAAAACAAAACTTTGTGCAACAGTTTTAGTAATTTGGTTAACTGGTATGAATTTTTATTATAATCGATTTTGGGCTGTTAGTAATGATAGTTTAATGTGGGATTTTTTAAAATATGATTTCTTTCAAACATGGTCAGTTATTGGTGGTTTAGGTTTAGTAGTTGCATATGGACCAGGTGGTGTTAGTGTAGATGATTATAAAAAGAAATGGTAATAACAAGGAACATTACATTCTATGTTTATTCTGATCGTTATGGAATAGTAGCCCTTGGATACGTGAACTGATGTAGTGTACAACATAATATGTGTATGTCATGATTACTACCTGATAATAATAATAATAATAATGTACTTGTTTGATTAGTTCTCTTTTTTTTTTGTTCATCTTGTAAACTGTCCATTTCCTATATGGGTCGTATACATATATATATATATACATATACTTGTCAACAAATAAAATAATAATAATAATAATAGAATGTAATTATTTTGCAATTATAAAAAGAACTATTCTATATGTTCTCTTATTTACAATTTCTTATTGTTTTTTTGTTTATTCATTGTGTTTGTTTGTGTCAATGAAATTTTCTTTTCTTTTTTTTTATTTATACATTGCACAATCTTTCCTCCCCCCTCCTTCTGTATGTGTACAGTCTCTATGCGTAATCATGTGTAGATGTGTATTTGTGTATGTGGGTGTACGTGCATGTGACCAATGAATTATCTTCATTCTGTTTACTTTATTCTCTTTTATTTATTTGTAATTTTTTTGTTTTTGTTTGTTTTTTTGAAAATAGAAATTCTTCTCATATCTCCCCCCCTCTTAGTTTTGTTTTTCATTCTAATTATTTTCGAACGATATACATGGTATATATATATATATATGTATATGTATGTTGTAATTGTTATTCAATTTTGTGCGCCCCCCTCTTCCCCCTATCTATTAGTTGTTTGTCTTACACTTTGTCTTGTTTATTTTTTATTTTTCTGTTTTCGCTTTTCTCTTCATGGTACCAAATTTTGAATCCAGTTAATATAAAAGTGAGAAAATAATTTCACGGTATTTTTTTTTTTTTCTGAGAAAATAACCAATCTACTCATTTAAATTTATTTATTATTACTATTATTTATTTGAACACATAGATATTGGTACCAGGAGGCACCAAATACATATGCGCCACACAAATCTCAATTGATTTGTGTGAGGGCTGTGATACTGTACGGGTGCCCAAACCGAAGCAGGTGGTTTTCTTAGGGGGCCACACCCCGAGCCTTTGACCTGAACGTCTGACGCACAAGGCAGTGGAGCATCGTAAGGAGATGTAGTCCCATGGTAGTCGGTGACCAACGATTGATTCATACACCATTTGTTCCCACAGGATACTGGAGCCAGCCCATATGCACCATTGGTTTGGAATGAGGGTTTTCCGACTTCCCTAGTTGGAATCTCCATGTCCACCAACCCGGTTAAAGCACTGGACATTCACTCTTCGTCCTTTCAATTCCGTAAACAACAGTAATGTCACGAGAAGGCAGTGAGTAGGACTTCTGTGGCAGAGGCCATGTGAGGGCATTTTGAGAGGGAGAGTGAACTCTCCCCACTCTCGGCCGTACCAGGGTATTTGCGGGCAGTAATGTTAATTCAATTACCAAATTATCGTTTACCCTTGATGTATAATATTGATTGAAGTATAACTTTGTTAGAAGAAAAAAAAGGTGAGAAAAGCCAAGATATGACATCAGTCTATGGAATTATTGTTAGGGTGAAACTATCATTTATGGACGACCTTAGAACGAATCTTAAGTGACTGAGAAATATTAGCCATTCAGAAAATAGTCAGTATAGAGTGAAAATATACATTATACAAAACCAAAGAAATAAAATGGATACACTTCTTCTTTTACATAGTCTAAAACTCTTTTGAGGTTAAAAAGACGTTCAAAGGTTTTAAATTCATAATGTATACGTTAGAGGATGTCATCCATATAATTCCATAATAGTCGACCTTTGGAGTCAAGTTAAGGTTTCAAAAACTCCTTTAGCCTCGAAAACATAGATTCAATATTGTTTGTTTGTATTCCGGTTGTTGGGTCCACAAACTACCGATTATGAATAACGACACGATGCACATAACTAATCCCATGTAGGAGTCTGTACGCTCTTCAAACATCCGTGTATATTGTAGTACCTGACTGCAGCCAGTATTACTGATGCTTTTATTATCCTATTTCGTAAGAATTGCCATAATTTGCCTTAGTTCGAAATTATATATAGGATTCTCATCACGAAATAACATCTGCTATAATGCCCAAACTCTATTTAGTCAAATGGGTGATGGACTTTCGCGCTAAAAATCCGAGACCTATTATCTAATACCTAATTGGTTCGTCCATAAATTAGTTTCACCGTTTTATTTGTTATAACTGTTCATTTATCACGTTTAGTATAAAATTCATTATGAACCGATCGTACGTAAGCATCGAGCACTGGAATTGGCGCCGTGATCTTGAGATTCCTCAAACTCCTCTGATTAGTTCATCCATATATTATAATCTCATCATCATTGATTTTGATCACATTAGTAGATGTATATCTATCATACATCTGTCCTAATTCTCATAACTTATATCACTATAGCGAGAAAAGAAATTATTATAATAGGAATTGCTTGAAAGGACTTTATTAAGAATTTAAATGTTGAAAGGGGGGTGGGGTATAGTTCAAAAGAAAGCAATGAAATCGAAAAATAGATAAACAATGGATACTATTGTAATCGGATTTGATATCATTTCACTTCATATCTACAAAAATCAATAAGTTTGTACTAATCGATATATCTTAATTCTTTCATCATTAGCTAGTTTCTAACATATTCCTATATGAACCGGAATAGGATATTATTAATATGTATTGATTGAGATCATGAATCGACTGATGTTAGACCACCGTTGGAAACCTGGAAGCACTGGACGGCCGTTTCGTCCTAGTATGGGACTCCTCAGCAGTGCGCATCCACGATCCCGCTCGCGGGATTCGAACCCAGGACCTATCAGTCTCGCGCGCGAACGCTTAACCTACTCGACCACTGAGTCGATTCATGATCTCAATCAAAAGCTTAATAATCTCCACAACCCCAATACTGATAATTAACATGTGCTCACTAGTGACTAGCTTCGTGAGGGAATTCTCGGAGTTCTAGTGAGAAGCCGTGACCAGTGGAGCTAATCCGTGTCGGGTAGAGACAGGTATCTACCTCAGTACAATGGAAGATGGTCGCGCAATTTCGTGGATTGGTTGATGTTAGACACTAACACCATTGGATGCCGGCTCAGTGGTCCAGTAGGTTAAGCGTTCGTGCGTGAGACTGAAGGACCTGGGTTCGAATCCCGTTAGCAGGATCGTGGATGCGCACTGCTGAGGAGTCCCATACTAGGACGAAACGGCCGTCCAGTGCTTCCAGGTTTCCAACGGTGGTCTAACATCAGTCGATTCATGATCTCAATCAAAAGCTTAATAATCTCCACAACCCCAATACTGATAATATGTATTGGTTAAGAATACGTGACAAATGTAACAATTGCCTTTGATGATGTATGTATTTGAGTGAAGTTGAAATGTGTAATCAATGGTCCATAATCGATTACAATGCTTAGTCCTAATGACATATTCAGTATATTGGATTTAACTTTTTAGATATTTCATGGTATAGTAAGATAACAATGTCACTATCATGTAATGTCCATCATTCAATCAATATTTTTTTAAAACTCGACTTGATAAAATTGAAAGTATAGGCGGTTTTTGCCTAATACAAAGTATCATTCAGGAATGTTTATAAGCGCTGACTAGTTGAGAAGTCGTCAACTAGAATGCTTAAAACATCCTTTGACTGAATAGATTCAACTAACTATTCAGGAGAATTGCTAAATCGAAAACCGATGTTCATTATAAGGAAACTGTAAGACACAAGTAAATCTTATTACTTACGTAGTTAAAATATGAGAATTAGACAAGATATCAAATGTTGCATTAATATTGATACAAAGGTGCGTCAAGTAGATCTGTACTACATACATCATTCGATTTATGTGAAGGTTGAGATACTGTCCGGGTGACCAAACCGAAGCAGGTAGTTAGTTTTCTTAGGAGGTCATACCCCGAGCCTTTGACGTAAAAATCTAATCCACAAGGCAATAGAACAACGTTAGGAGATGCAGTCCTATGGTGACCAGTCACTAATAATAGATTCATACTCTATTTGTTCCCTCAGAATCCTGAAACCTGTAGTAAGCCCATTTAACTACTGTATTATTTATCTGATCACTTTAATTTAGACACTTAATCCACTATTTAAATTTCTATGTAAGTCTGATTGAGCACATTTCCATTTTTAATCTATTCTCCCATTGGTTGTAATACATAGACAATCAATAATTTCTCCATGCTGGATTAAAACTCAAAAAACATATATGGATGTTCAACACTTACACACACACACTCTTGGTTACCCTGTGTGCTTGCTTCGTGTATGCCTGATGATTTTACGAATCTTTAACAATAAACTATCACTATAACTAGTGTTCAAGATTTTACATAATCATCTCGAGTAAATCCATAATTCTACTAGAAGATTGAGTCTGCATTAAATGCTCAGATAATGGAATACTATTTATTGGAGTCAAATATAGAGAGGAAATTAGCCTCTACAACCTAATCAGTGTATCAGCAGTTTTATCACTGTTGAGAGTATTCTCATCATCCAGTGAACCTAGGAACTTCGAGTTTCACCTCGAAATCTTAGTAATTAGATTTCTAACAATTGGAGTCATATATAGAGGAAATTAGCCTCTACAAACTCATGTGCACCAGCAGTTCAGAATGAAGTTTATCCAACTACCCCAAAATAAATCGTCTATATCCACCAACCCGATCAAACTACCAGACATGCACTTTTCCTTCTTCTACTCCTGTTCATTTCATAAACAAGATTTCCAATCTCTAAATGTCAATGAGTAGGACTTCCATGACAGTGGTTATATACATATGCGGTTATACGAGATCATCTCCATCTTCGATCGTGATCAAGTAAAGGATGTAACAGTGTTATAGAAAAACAAAACAAAACAAAACTCTATACATTTACATGTATATATCATTTCAATGGTATTACTGTTGTTATAGTTCTTGATTGAATTGAATTATCCAATGTTTGT